TTCTATTTCAATATCTTGAGTTGGTTCGTCTGAGGGGCCCACATCCTAATGATTTAGTTGTTGATGTGTCACGTTTGGATGGATCTAATTGGCGGGAAAAATAAAAATGGGAAATCTTATGGTGGTAGACCTTTTGCCTCCAACTATAGAAAATAAGATAGAATGTTATTTGCGAGAATGAATGAAACAGTTTTGTAATTAGCTCTAAGTGAGACAACACGTGAAAGTTGGAGGAAGTCTTGAGAGTTTCACAAGAGCAAATAAGAGCTACACAACAACAAATTTAAGAATATATGCTCTCACAAATAAATCTAACTTATGGTTCTATGAGTGACAATCAACATTTCAGTGGATATGATGAAGTTTGCGGATTTGGAGCGGTTGGTAACCAAAGAGAGGTAAGGGAGGATGAGAATGCAAAACAGGAGAGTGATGAAAACATCATGCATAGATGAATACCAATATTTTAATATTAATACATATTTTAAATTTAACTTGTAGAATATTTAAATATTTTAAATTAATTTTGAATTTAAATATTTTTAATAAATTTTGAATTTAAATATTTTTAATTAATTTTAAATTTAAATATTTTTATTTAATTTTGAATTTAAAATATTATATAACTACAAATTATTTATAATATTTATATTATTATGATTATTAAAATTATTATTTTTAATAATTGAATAAAATAAAAGATTTTTTATTAAATAAATTTTTAATACGAGTTGTAAAACATCCTCCAAAAACATTATTTGCGAAGTATTTTTCACCCTAAAAAAACATGATTTAGGAGGTGATTTTCACCCTTGAAAAAAATATCATGCATCATGCTACATGTGACGTAGATTCAAAGCTATAAATCCAGTCTAAAAAGTTGTAAAGTGAATTCCATCTTACAAAATTGTGAAGTATTTCATCTAAACGTTGCGGGGTGATCTTTACCTAACAAGAAATGTCCTATAACTTATGTTAGGTGTTTGCTTACCTCACAAATTGATTTCCTTTTTGTAATGGATGGAGGTGTTTACATTTTTGTGTTTCTTATATATTGATAACCTCATGATTAAGTAAAAAGGAATACATTATATAGCGGCAAGATAAAAAACAACAAACACAAAGATGATTTTAAGAACATAAATATTATATATTGATAACATCATCAAAGTATAAATATTATATAGTGGCAAGATATATAACAACAACAAAGATGATTGACTGTCAAGTCCTTTATTGATTTACACCCAAAATCATTTTATTCATGAGATTTATTTCTTGAAGGTGTATCTTAAATGATGATATTATTAGTTCCGAGTGCCGTCAACTGCAGCACGACCAACTATACCACCAACTGCAGCACGCCCAACTATTCCACCAAGTACATGAGGATTACCGGGGTAGCCACCATCTACAAACACAATATTATATAAATATGTATTATTGTACTTTATGGGTTTTGATATTAATATATACCAAACTTTACAAACTCTAGTTTGAATTGAATAAATATTGTATAACTCACCCATTTTGGTATTAGAGGAAGTCTCAGTGAAGACTCTAGCGGACACCTCTGAGGAGATAAGTACAGCCAAAGCCAAAAGGCCTAGGATGTGGATAATTGCTATCTTCGAATTCATTTTAAATATAAAATAGAAAAATTAATTCGGTTGCAAATTCGGATAGTAAACGATGAGGAAATCAGTAAGAGAGTGTGTGCTATATATAATGAAGAGAAAGATGGAAGGCTATGAAATATTGAAGCATCGCAGTTATTAAGACATAGCAGCTACTTAGATACATAGGAAATAATCCCCACACTTTTATGAGTTTTTAAAGTACAGGTGGCCCATTTTACAACTAGAAAGAAATTCGCACGTTGATATAAGTTTTTAAACGAGTATTTTAAAATTTACATTTTAATTTATTATTAATTTATAATATTTGCAATTGATTTAATTCAATTGAATTATTCATTCAGTTTCAATTATTTATAATTTAATAATATATTATAAAATATTTTTATAAAATAAATTTTAAACTATAATTGAAAATTTATGGTTTAATTTTGTAATATGTATTTGTAATTATAATTCAAAGTAGTATATTAGAAATAATTTAAAATATTTATATGTTTATTTGAAAATTACAAGTTAAATTTGAAAGAATTGTTTGATAATTTTTTTTAGAATTTTAATAAGATTTAATATTTGAAGTTAAATTTTATAATATATAAATGCATTTATAAATAAGAATTATATTTTAACAAGAATATTAAAGTATTTATTTGTTTATTTAAAAGTGTTGTTTGACCATTTTATTTTAAATATTGTAATGTGTTTTTTACGTCGTTATTATGATTTTAAAATTGATACATGCGAACGATTTATTTTATACAACTATTTTATGCACTATTTTTTATGGAGAAAAATATAACATAATGTTTTTTTTAAATATTTCATCTTATGACGATATCAATTATCTATTTTTTTTTACTTTTGAGTGATTGAAGTAGTGACAATATTATCATTTTTATTAAGAGACAAAAAATTATTCATTTTTATAGAAATTAAATTAATTCTCATTTATTTTTATCAAAATATTTAAAAATTGATTAATTTCATTTTTGTAAGAATTAAATCAACTCGAATAGTTTTTAATTGAATTATTCAAAAATAATTAATTTAATTTTTTAAATAAAAAATTAGGCTGCGCAATAGAAAATAGATTGAAATTTTAATAGTTTGAGTTTTGATGTATGGGAGATATATAATTTGTATATGTGTGTAGTTTATAATAACATGTAGCTTATATGTATGTACAATTTGTACAAGTATATAGCATTATTTAACATATATAAATTAATGATTTTTAGTTACAAGAATTAAAAGGAATAAGTTATGGAATATGAAAATAGAAGTGTTTTTGTTAAAAAATATTTATAAATAAAATGTTACACACTTTTCTCAAATAAATAGTAGATATTTTAAAATGATATGTTTTGAAGAGTGTCACATCAAATTTTTAGTGATGTGATAAATAAAAGAATGAATTATCAAGTGTGAGATTCAGTTTTAATATATTATAATTTGAAAATGTATGTAATTTTTTTAGCATTTTAATAAGATTTTATATTTGAAGTTAAATTTTGTGACATATAAATGCATTTATAATCAAGAATTATATTTTAAAAAGAATGCCAAAATATTTGTTTGTCTATTTTAAAGTATTTTTAACTGCTTTAGTTTCAACATTGTAATGCGATATTTTTTGTTGTTATAATGATTATAAAACTAACACTTCCGACCAATTTTTTTGATAAAATTATTTTATGCACAATTTTTTTTATGGAGTATAAAATATTATATAATGTATTATTTTAAAATACTTATAGAGGCAAAAAAATACATACTAAAAAAATAAAAATAATGATTAGAATAAAAAAAAACTAATTGCATCTTTATAATTGTTGTGACGAAATAAATCATCTCTTTTTATTGTGATTTAAGTAGTGACAATGTTATAGTTTTTAATAGAAATCAAAAAAATTATTTCCATTTTTATAAGAACTAAAACTAAAACAAGCGGATGTTTTATTTTATAAAACTATTTTATGCATCTTTTCTATGTAATAAAATATAATCTAAGGTATATAATTTTTAAAATATTGATAGAGAAAAAAAATACATACGAAAAAAATAAAAATAATAATTAGTATAAGAAAATATGTATCTGCATCTTTATAATTGTTGTGACGAAATTAAATTTCTCTTTTTATGTGAGTGATTGAAATAGTGGCAACGTTATAATTTTTGTTAAGATACAAATTTTTTTTAGGGGTCCACATAAAAAAATGAATAATTATTTTTGAACCGGTAACTGTAGGTCTAAGCAGGAAGTCTTATACTCGAAGGTATAAGAAGGGAAGTCTTGATTCTTAGGGCCTCACATAAATTAATTATTTTTGAATAATTCAATTAAAAACTATTCGAGTTGATTTAATTCTTATAAAAATGAAATTAATCAATTTTTAACTATTTTGATAAAAATAGATGAGAATTAATTTAATTTCAATAAAAATGAATATTTTTTTGTCTCATAATAAAAATGATAACATTGTCGCTACTTCAATCACTCAAAAGTAAAAAAAAAAAATAGATAATTGATATCGTCTTAAGATGAAATATTTTTAAAAAAAATTATATTATATTTTTCTCCATAAAAAATGGTGCATAAAATAGTTGTATAAAATAAATCGTTTGCATGTATCAATTTTAAAATCATAATAACGACGTAAAAAACACATTACAATATTTAAAATAAAATGGTCAAACAACACTTTTAAATAAACAAATAAATACTTTAATATTCTTGTTAAAATAGAATTCTTAGTTATAAATGCATTTATATATTACAAAATTTAACTTCAAATATTAAATCTTATAAAAATTCTAAAAATGATTATCAAACAATTCTTTCAAATTTAACTTATAATTTTCAAATAAACATATAAATACTTTAAATTATTTCTAATATACTACTTTGAATTATAATTACAGATACATATTACAAAATTAAACCATAAATTTTCAATTATAGTTTAAAATTTATTTTATAAAAATATTTTATAATATATTATTAAATTATAAATAATTGAAACTGAATGGATAATTCAATTGAGTTAAATCAATTGCAAATAGTATAAATTAATAATAAATTAAAATCTAAATTTTAGAATATTACTTTAAAAACTTATATCAAGGCGCGAATTTCTTTCTAGTTGTAGACTGGGCCACCTGTACTTTAAAAACTCGTAAAAGTGTGGGGATTATTTTCTATGTATCTAAGTAGCTGCTATGTCTCAATAACTGCGATGCTTCAATATTTCATAGCCTTCCATCTTTCTCTTCATTATATATAGCACACACTCTCTTACTGATTTCCTCATCGTTTACTATCAGAATTTGCAACTGAATTAATTTTTCTATTTTATATTTAAAATGAATTCGAAGATAGCAAGTATCCACATCCTAGGCCTTTTGGCTTTGGCTGTACTTATCTCCTCAGAAGTGTCCGCTAGAGTCTTCACTGAGACTTCCTCTAATACCAAAATGGGTGAGTTATACAATATTTATTCAATTGAAACTAAAGTTTTTAAAGTTTGGTATAAATTAATATCAAAACCCATAAAGTACAATAATACATATTTATATAATATTGTGTTTGTAGATGGTGGCTACCCCGGTAATCCTCATGTACTTGGTGGTATAGTTGGTCGTGCTGCAGTTGGTGGTATAGTTGGTCGTGGTATAGTTGGTCGTGCTGCAGTTGACGGCACTCGGAACTAATAATATCATCATTTAAGATACACCTTCAAGAAATAAATCTCATGAATAAAATGATTTTGGGTGTAAATCAATAAAGGACTTGACAGTCAATCATCTTTTTTGTTGTTTTATATCTTGCCACTATATAATATTTATACTTTGATGATGTTATCAATATATAATATTTATATTCTTAAAATCATCTTTGTGTTTGTTGTTTTTATCTTGCCACTATATAATGTATTCTTTTTTACTTAATCATGAGGTTATCAATATATAAGAAACACAAAAATGTAAACACCTCCATCCATTACAAAAAGGAAATCTATTTGTGAGATAAGCAAACACCTAACAAAAGTTATAATGCATTTTTTTTCCAGATAAATATCACCTCCAAACGTTTAGGTAAAATAGAATTGTTAGGTTCATTTTACAATTTTTTTGACCGAATTTAGAACAGTGAGTCGGTATCGCTTGTGGCATCATGCATGATATTTTTTTTAAGGGTGAAAATCACCTCCTAAATCATGTTTTTTCAGGATGAAAAATATCTTGCAAATCATGTTTTTGGAGGATGTTTTACAACTCGTATTAAAAATTTATTTAATAAAAAATACTTTATTTTATTCAATTATTAAAAATAATAACTTTAATATTCATAATAATATAAATATTAAAAATAATTTGTAGTTATATAATATTTTAAATTCAAAATTAAATAAAAATATTTAAATTTAGAATTAATTAAAAATATTTAAATTAAATTCTACAAATTAAATTTAAAATATGTATTAATATTAAAATATTAGTATTCATCTATCCATGATGCTTTCATCTATCCATGATGCTTTCATCACTTTCCTTATTTTCATTCTCATCCTCACTTACCCTTCATTGGTTACCAACCACTCTAAATCCGCAACCTCCGTCATATCCACTGAAACGTTCATTGTCATCCATAGAATCATAAGTTAGATTTATTTGTGAGAGCATATATTCTTAAATTTATTGTTGTGTAATTCTTATTTGCTTTTGTGAAACTCTCAAGATTTCCTCTAACTTAAATTGTTTTTTTATCTCATTTCTTCAATTTCAGTCTTTTACGTAGCTTCACATGTTGTCTCACTTAGAGCTAACTGTAAAACTGTTTCAGTCATTCTTGCAAATAACGTTGTATCTTATTTTCTATAGATGGAGAGAAAAAGTCTACCACCATAAGATTTTTCGTTTTTATTTGTTCCGCCAATTAGATCCAACCAAACATGAACATCTGGATCATTAGGATGTGGGCCCTTCAGACGAGCCAACTCAAGATATTGAAATAGAAATTCTTCCTAGTAATCCTCCTAGTAAACTCAACTTAAAAGTTAAATTAAATAATAATTAGACAAATTAATTAAATAAAATATTTAAATATTAATATCTTTTTACCCAAGTTTTTCTAGCATGCTCGTTGTTATACTTCCCATCTCTCCTCATATATGTCCTCTCATAAATCTCATTCATTAAAAGGGTTATTCCATTCTAAATATTCTAACTAATACAATTAACTTTAGTTAAAAATATAAAATAAATAGGAATATAATTTTTAAAAAAGTAGTGAGATGAAAATATAATTATCATCCGTTGAGCATGTTAGGCAATATGAATGTTTCCTACTCTATGATTAGAACTCCTTTTTCAAATACACTATGTTACTTTGATTTTTTAGATATTTCCTTAAACTCTTCAGAATTCCAATAAGCGAGCATTTCTTTATATACATCTTGGCCCATACATGGAGGGCGTATGACTTTTTGTTCTCAACCAAATTTGTGAATGCTGAGTATTAACTACAAATTCAACCGGATTTTGAATGATGTCAAATAAGGAAGGTAGTATAGCTTAGCGCTTTTGTATATTGGACGATATCAACCTATTTAGATGCTCATTTATTCCCTTAACCTTAGAATGCATAAAAAGAGTCTTTAAACAAGTTTTATAGGTCTTAGGCATGTCATACACAGCAAAAAAATCATGTTTGTGTGTCAAAATAACTGCATAGGCCGACCCATATGCGATTAGGCCAACCCATAGGCTATGCCTTTTTTTCCATATAAAGATCACCTCGCAACGTTTAGGTAAAATACCTCACAATTTTGTTAGGTTCCTTTTATAACTTTTTTAGACCGGATTTAGAACAGTGACTCAGTATCGCATGTAGATGCATGATATTTTTATTAAAGGTGAAAATCACCTCCTAAATCATGTCTTTTCATGGTGAAAAATACCTCGCAAATCATGATTTTGGAGAATGTTTTACAACTCGTATTAAAAATTTATTTAATAAAAAATATTTTATTTTATTCAATTATTAAAAATAATAATTTTAATATTCATAATAATATAAATATTATAAATAATTTGTAGTTATATAATATTTTAAATTCAAAATTAAATAAAAATATTAAAATTCAAAATTATATAAAAATATTTAAATTAAGAATTAATTAAAAATATTTAAATTAAAAATTTATTAAAAATATTTAAATTCAAAACTAATTTAAAATATTTAAATATTGGCAAAATAACCTTTTTCGTCCCTTAACTTTTGCTCGGGGTCCATGTTGGTCCTTTATCTTTAAAAAGTGGCAAGTTAGTCCTTTAACTTTTAAAATGGTGTCATTCTAGTCCGCACCGTCAGTTGTCCCCAAACGTCCGTTTATTTTGCATATCTGGCAGATGACCTGGAAAGCATGAAATCTCTAATTTTGTTCATGATGTTGCTTCCTTCTCCTTCCTTCTTCCGTTCAAATCCCTAAAAAATAATCTGAATCCCAGATCCCTAACTTAATCTAGGTTTTTTTTTTATTTGGCAAGCATGAAATTCAGATGTTCCTCCTCCATTTCGAAATCGAAAAGTTGGGATTCGGATGTTTGTAGTCGGTCACGATGGAAGCCCATGTGTTATTGTAGAGACATGGTTGTTCTTCAAAGGGCAACTACTGTTAAGAATATGGGAAAACTTTTTTGGGGTTGTCCAAATTATAAGGTATGCAAGCTGGTTTTGTTCTATGTTGAAGTTCTATTTTTGATCAAGTTATGTTTCTGTTTCTGTCCAAATTATAAGTTATATTTTTGTTTAATTTTAAATTCATTATCCATCATCCTCTAAACAATGAAACTTACAGGGAGGTATGCAAGATGGTTGTGGCTTCTTTGATTGGTTTTATGAGGAGATGGGTGATGAGAAGGAGCAATTTTGGATGCATAGGCTAGGTGTAGTAATTTTGGATGCATAAGGGACTTGCAGAAGCAAAAAAGGACATTGAAAAAGCGACAATGGAGAATGAAGAATTAGGGAAAAAGCTGATGAAACTTGAAAGTGAAATGAAGAATATCATGAAGTGGAAAAAGATTTTGAATTTGATGTTTGTGATGATTATCATTGTATTAGTTGTTATGGGTAGTTAGGGTATTAAGGTTTGTTTGGAAGTATTATGTTATGGTTTGTTTGTAAGAATTAAGTTAAGTTTTGGTTGTAAGAATTATGTTTTTATGTTTAGTTAAAGTTTGTATCATTTTTGAATATAACAGTTAAAGATAATGTTAACTTGGTATGCAACAGTTAAAGTGTTTTAATTTGGTCTGTCAAAGCATAATCCACATGAATATAACAGTTTTGGATTCTATCATGTCAAAGTATTTTTAATTTGGTCTATCAAAGCATAACAACAGTTAAAGAGTATGTTAATTTGGCTTGTCAATGATATATTTGGTATGTTATGTTTTTTATGTTTACAACAACAGCAGCAGGATACATATAAGTTGGTTCTGCTTTTAGGTTTATTTCATAGTACCTATAAACAACAATAGCAGCGGGATACATAAACTTGTAATACTTTCCACAAAATATACTTGTTCCAAAACAACAGTAGAATACACAAAATATACTTGTTCTAAAACAACAGAAGTAGAATACATAAAAATATACTTGTTCCAAAACAACAGCAGTAGAATACTCAAAATATACTTGTTCATGACAGCAGTAGAATACACAAAATATACTTGTTCCAAAACAACAGCAGTAGAACACATAAACTTGTTCATGACAACAACAGTAGAATAAATAAACTTGTTCCAAAACGACAGCAATAGAATACATAAACTTGTTCTAAAACGAAAGCAGTAGAATACATAAACTTGTTCTAGGTAACTAAATACACATGTTCCACAACTTCGAGTTTCTTCTTTGGCGTGGTCCTCTTTGTTGGAGTAGACCTCCTTGTTACTGGGTCAACAACATTCTTCGCAGCACTCAACCTAGTTGTAGGACCAGGTGGCACAAAAGGTCTTATTGGCTTCCTTACAGGCAGCTTTTGTGTCTTGCCCTTAGCAGCCTTTCCATTAGAAGTCTGAGATGCTTGGCTAGATTGTTGAGTAGGCTGAGTTGTTGAAGTAGGAGTGTGTTGGCTAGTTTGTTGAGCAGTCTGAGTTGGAGTCTGATTGAGCTGGGTTGATTGTTGGCTAGGTTGTTGAGCAGTCTGAGTTGGAGTATGATTGAGTTGGGCTGATTGTTGGCTAGGTTATTGAGTTGTTGTGTCCTTACAAGTAGATTTGTAATGTCCTGCTTTCTTACACCTACTACACTTCACCAGAAAACCTGTTCTTCTCAATTTGCGAGCAGACCCATCAATTTCACCTTGTTCTAGGTTCCTCCTCTTTTTAGGTCTACCAGGCATCTTCCTAAACTTGGGTGGTTGCACATCTGGGTATGGTGTCTTAACCCACAAGTTTTCTCCATTAACAGGGTAGATCATATGCTTATAAATTACCTTGTACCTTGAAACCCTATAATAATCTGAAATGTAAGTATCAATTTTGAAATTCCTACTCTTCATAGTAGAATGAGCATGAACACATGGGAGCCCTGTGAGTTCCCATCTTATGCATGAACATATCTGACATGTCTTTTGGTTGTCTGAATATCACCCTTTGAATTAAAGTACATTCCCACATCCCACTTGTAATCTAACATGTCT